GTCTGAGGCCAGATTTGAACTCGGGTCCTCCTGACTTCAGGACCGGTGCTCTATCCACTGCGCCACCTAGCCGCCCCTGCCCCTCTTTCTGATATCTTGCTGTTCAAGTGATACTGCCCTATCCCTCATGCTCATTACATCTTTTCAACACCTTTGTGATACTTGTGTTTTAGATTCCTCAGGTTGTGATATTTTATAATTTGCCACCATGGAGCATTGATTGGATAAAATGGGCTATTGATGGTTAGCTCTCACACCAATGAATAGTTTTGGATTACTGAAAATACCGAGCAACTTGCCAGATGATAAATCCAGGCTTACTTGTAAATTCTGGGTCCAACTCATTGGCCAACTGTATAGGCAAGATTTTTTTTTTCTGAGCATGTGCCTTTCTTTTTCTTTTTTTTCTTTTTACTTTTTTTAATTTATTTTGATCTATCAATAATCACTTCCATATGCTTTTGAGATTAAAATTTTTCTCCCCCTTCCCACCACCCTCCCCAAGATGGTGCATAATCTGATATAGGCTATATATTTACATTCCTATTAAACATATTTTCACATTAGTGATATAAGTAGAAATTAAAACCAGTAGGAGGAACCATCAGAAAGAGGAAACAAAACTCTACAGAAGAGGAAAAAAAAATAGCAATTTGGCTTCCAGAGTTCTTTCTTTGGGTGTGGATAGCATTTTCCATCACAAGGTCTATGGAGATGTCTTAGGTCCTTGCATTGCTGGGTAGGGTTAAGTTTATCAATATTAGTCATTGCACAATGTGGCTGTTATTGTGTACAATGTTCTCTTGGGTCTGCTCACTTCACTCAGCATCAGACCATACAAGTCTTTCCAGGTTTTTCTGAAGTCAGCCTGTTCATCATTTCTTATAGCACAATAGTATTCCATCCCATTCATATACCACAACTTGCTCAGCCATTCCCCAATTCATGGTTATCCTCTCAATTTCCAATTCTTTGCCACCACAAAAAGAGCTGCTATGAATATTTTTGTACATGTAGGTCCTTTTCCCATTTGTGTGATCACTTTAGGATATAGCCCTAGAAGTGCTATTGCTGGGTCAAAGGGTATGTGCATTTTTATAGTCCTTGGGCATAGTTCCAAATTGCTCTCCAAAATGGTCGGATCATTTCACAACTCCACCAACAATGCATTAGTGTTCCAATTTTCCCACATCTTCTCCAACATTTATCATTTTCCTGCTTTATCATGTTGGCCATTCTTATAGGTGTGATGAGGTACCTCAGAGTTGTTTTGATTTGCATTTCTCTAATCAATAGTGATTTAGAGCATTTTTTCATGTGACTATAGATGGCTTTAATTTCTTCATCTGAGAACTGTCTGTTCATATCCTTTGACCATTTATCAGTTGGGGAATGGCTTGTATTCTTATAAATTTGACTTAATTCTCTATGTATTTTAGAAATGAGGCCCTTATCAGAGAGACTGTTTGTAAAAATTCTTTCCCAATTTTCTACCTTCCTTCTAATCTTAGTTGCATTGGCTTTGTTTGTGCAAAAACTTTTCAATTTAACGTAATAAAAATTATCTGTTTTGCTTTTCGTAATGTTCTCTATCTCCTGTTTGGTCATGAATTCTTCTGTTCTCCATAGATCTGACAGGTAAACTATTCCTTGCCCTCCCAGTTTGCTTATAGTATCAGCCTTTATATCTAAATCATGAACCCATTTTGATTTTATTTTGGCATATGGAATGAGATTTTGGTCTATGCCTAGTTTCTGCCATACTCTTTTCCAGTTTTCCCAGCAGTTTTTTTTTTTTTTTCAAAGAGTGGGTTCTTATCCCAGAAGCTGAGGTCTTTGGGTTTATCAAATAATAGATTACTATAGTCATTGACTACTGTGTCTTGCATATTTAACCTATTCCATTGATCCACCACTCTATTTCTTAGCCAGTACCAAGCAGTTTTGATGATTGCTGCTTCATAATACAATTTAAGATCTAGAATGGCTAGGCCAGCTTCCCCTGCATTTCTTTTCATTAGTTCTCTTGATATTCTGGACCTTTAGTTCTTCCAAATGAATCTTGTTATTTTTTCTAACTCTATAAAATAGTTTTTTGGTAGTTTGATTGGTATGGCACTGAATAAGTAAATTAACTTAGGTGGAATTGTCATTTTTATTGTATTAGCTCAGCCTACCCATGAGCAACTGAAGTTTTTCCAATTATTTAGATCTGATTTTATTTGCGTGAAAAGTGTTTTGTAATTGTGTTCATAGAGTTCCTGGGTGTGTTTCGGGTGGTGGACTCCTAAATATTTTATAATGTCTACAGTAAGTTTAAATGGAATTTCTCTTTCTATCTCTTGCTGTTGGGTTTTGTTGGTAATATATAGAAATGCCAATGATGTGGGTTTATTTTATAGCCGAGCATGTGCCTTTCTGTCAGTATATTTGTATCACCTTCCTGAAGAGAAAGTTAAATTTAAGTTTGCAAATTATGAACAAACCATGGTACCAAAGAAAGCAAACATATGACCCAGCACATCAGCTTAAAATCTCATAAGCATAAAAACTTAAATATCAAAGTACACATCATTGTCTTTGCACTTGAGCTTTCTGTACCTGATAAATTTGTTTACCTATAGTATACTAAGATAAGAAATGCTGAACATAATTAAAGGTAATAGATAGCCCGAGGCTCTCTTAGTCCAATAATCTCTGATCCGTCTTGTAAAGAATGTTCCCCTTCAGGAAGGCTGTAAAGGTGACTGCTTGAAGTACCCCTTCAATTGAAGGAGCTTCCCTTCAATGCCAGAGGTCAGGTATTCAATCCCAGATTTTACTTGAAATTTCTTATATTTTAGATCAGAAAGAGACCTTGAGGATGAACTATTCCAATATTCTCATTTTATATACAAAGAAACCAATGCACAGGTCATCCAAATCTTATCAGTGCCTTAGCCAAAATAATATAGCTATTAATACCCAAGATCTCCAGATGCCAAATTCAGGGTTCTTTTCATGATAAAACATGAATATGTTTAGTAATTTGACTTTCTTTAGTATTAGTTATGATGACTGGTTGATAAATACCCACCTCAATGAGGTCACAGGTCTAATCATGTACGAAAACTGTAGTAAGATCCCTCCTCTCTATTGAAACTATTCCCTTAAAGGAAACCACCCATCTCTTTATTGTGAAATTCAATGGCATTTTCTCTTTCTTCATCTACCACAATCTTTCTGCAGATTTCCATACCAAAAATCCCTTCCTTCTGGTTAATTTCTCTTCCCTTGACTTCTCTGACCCTTCTCTCCTGTCTGTGTTCCTTTCTTATAGCAACTTATCAGTCTCCCTGGCTTCTTTATCTCTTGTTTCCTGACTATGGAATATTACTCAAGGTTGTATCCTGGACTGTTTTATTGAACCCATCTGTTTCCATATCATTTCTATGCAGATGACTCCCCAATATATATCTCCAGTCCAAACTTCTCATGAACTCTAGTACCGTATCTCCAACCTCTTATTAGACGTGCCTTCTGTAGTGATTGGTAGCAACTCAGATCAAACACATCCAAAACAAAAACTCCTTTTCTTTTCTCTCCCTGAACCTTCTTCCTCTCAATCTGTCATGAAGCGATGGTTCCACAATCTTACCAGTCACCCAGAGTTACAGCCTCAGTCCTGGATCTTCCATTTCTCCATTCTCATTCAATCAATTGCCAAGTCCTGTCAATTGTACCATCGTCATGTTTTATGTATCCACCCCGTTCTCTCTGTGTCACACACACACACACACACACACACACACACACACACACACACACAC